CAGGCATCATAAAGTCCACTTGTACAAGCCACCATAAACTGCTTGAGGAGGGATTGCTGTGGCTGTATATAATAACGATGATAGAATATCTCTGTGTTAACAAATGACACCTACAAGGTGATCTGCAAAGTGAAAAGTAACCTGCCTGAGATGAGAATCTAGCTATCCAGACAGAGAAACTAGAGCAGTGCTTACGAAAGCAAACCACTACTCCACATCTGTTTCAAGAAAGTAATCACCCTATCACTATTTTCAACCTAAATGTTTATTTTGTTCTATTGAATGTCTCTGACCACTTCTCAATGACTCATGTATTCTCACGAAAAGCTTACGTCGGAGGATCTCTTCTTATTTCCATGTTAATCCTCACTACAATTTACACATTAAAGTATATCTCACAGTGTGATTCTATCAGTTAGTCCCCTTCATCAAAATCTCAGATGTGTTAATCATTAATATTGGCGAATATTCGCAAGGAGATTCACCCCTTTCTCAATAACCAATTCGTCGAGAAGAAATTGGTAGTGAATGCGATAATGCATCAACCAGAGAAAGTGTGCTCTTCGAAAACAGACTTATCGCTGATCCACTCGTCTTGTTGCAATCGAGGTTTGTCTGCTGACAACAGTAAATGATCTGGCACAGTCAATAGCATATCTGCAGTGTGTTGCCTGTTTTCGTATTCAACTTGTTTGTTTGTTTGTACCTCGAATTCAGCTTTGTTCAACCATTTAGGAGAATCCTGCATCATGTGATGTGTAGACAATAGCCTACACATACAAACACACACGCACGCCTACATACAGACTCACACAGAAACACAAAAGACCTAAATGATTTCGTTGCGTGAAAGTGCCAGTGAAATTCTACTCGCATATGCAGGTTATACCATCATATCTCCACCAGGCAGAAGGCTTTCAATGCTTTCATTCTTGGTCAACAATATACCGAAAATCAATCGTGAATACAACGACAAATGAAATCTACTCAGGTTTGACTAAAACACAACCGGACATGAAATTCGCATAAATGATCAGCGCTTCATCGTTCGACATGAAAATCGCAGCAGCTGGTGTGTGGATATCAACTTCAATGAATGAGAATGAGCGAGGGAATGTATATCACAACTGGTGTGAAATTTCTCCTTGACCTCATGAGGTCGCATAAATGAAGTGAAGTGAGTGCCTGATAAGTGCTCGTTCTAAGGTAATGGGGGGTGAGTGAGTGAATACAGTTCCCATAGTCTTCACACTATTCTACAATGATCATCAAATTAGAATAGAGTACATTCAAGCTTATGTTCAGGTCACTTAAGTGTTTTATGAGAATATCGAGAAGGAGATCTGAGTGAATCTAATCTAGTTGAATTTGAGATTGTTGTACAAAATATATTGTATAACTATATCATGCAATTTCCATATGTCTCAGCTGAGAGATCATCAAGAACGACTGTTCTGTCCTCATTGAATATCTAGTGTCTTCTGAGCGTGTTAAGACGGCAGTAATTATACACACGGTCGCCATTTAAATGAATTAATGCATATTGCTAGATATTTCGTTATTTAACACCAAGTATGTTTCTTCTATCTGTTTCATTTCATCATTTAGGTCTTTTCTTGTACTACCTTGTGCTATTGCTCGGTTTGTTTGTCACTTAACTTAGCCAACCTTTACAGACAGCGGATGAAATGAATTAAAGTCTAAATACTTTCAACAATGCATTAGTTATATTTCAACGATAGTGTGCACTTTACATTCTTCTATTCGTGCTTTGTTGATGCATGCAGTGGGATGTAGTGCTGAGTTGTTCTTTTCTAAATTACTTCACGAGGTCAAACATTCTAACCTTAGCTAGATTCTTATTTTCTGATAATCTCACTACTCCTGGCTGATCTACTATTTTGACCTATGTAGTTGACCTAACACACAGACATTCCGTCCCATACCTTCTTACTTCTTTTTATCTTAAGATACAGTTGAATATCATCACTTGCCATCCCGTTGACTGGTATCCGAATGTGAAACGGCTAGTTGCTATTAAATCCGTGTGTGACGTGACAGAGATCGTATGAGGAAGAGATTAGGGCTTATAGTTGATGGTGGAGCCACATAAAGAGGAATGCAGATAAGCGAGTGATGTGAAGATGTTCTGCTGAAATCCAATTCTCCATTCTGAACCTAGGAGCACAGTAGAATTAATCAAAAATACTTGTAAATCCAGTTGCATCTCCGTCTCTTGCACTCGCTGCAGATTAACGCAAACATCGCATCGAATATTAACCCTGATATATATTGTAAAAAGAGAAATGTCTCACATGCTGTCAACATTCCTAAGACTATCATTTACAGGATGCATGACTTGTGTGGCGATACTCATAGACGTTTGTAGACACCATTCAGTTAGTTAGTCAAGTTCGTTTTTGTGTTCATGTGTCGCGTCACCGAAGGTTTTTGAAGAAATGAATGTGCAGGGGTAGCACGTGATCAAGTTAGGCTCTACATCTTAGTTGTAAAAAGAGAAGAAGAGGAAGAAAAAGGGATTACTGGAAACCCCTTTAAGTAACTCATTCAACTTTCAGCAATTTGAAACTGCAATCTTCGTCATGCCTGAGGCAATGAGATAGATGGTGACTAGGAGTGGAACCCTCCAGGATGCGCATCTCACCCTATCCGCAATTCGTCAGATAACTGATGTACCTGCATTGCCCAGTGACTGATGGTCTTCCCAGCAAAACTCCAATCTACTACTCATATGTTCGAATGCCGAACACAACCTGTATCACTTCACTACTCGGCCAATCACAGCCTCCTCCTTTGCAAAGATCATCGGCCTGTATTTATTTCACATTCAATTTGATTTTCCGTTTGACTGATTGGATCGGATTATTCAGCCTTTGTTGACGCGTCAGCTACTAGTAGGAAAGATTCTACGGGTGGATAACGCTTTGCAGTTGAAAGGATTAGTGATTGGTTCGAGTCTTAGTGCAAACACCACTGGCTCACTGGGTGGTACAAGTACATCATCTAGCTGACGCGTCCTGAAAGAGATGAAATGCGAATCTTAGAGGCGGATTCCACTGCTAAACACCATTCATCAAACTGCTTCAATTTAATCCACAGACATTGTCCGAGAGTCCGTGCCAGCAGCTGACATGTAAACGTAGGCCGAACACCTCGATGATATTAACTAACGAGGAGGTCGAAACTGAGTAAAAATCACTCGGTGTGTCGAAATGAGGTGTTATTATTATCTTGAGTCATTTTAAGATGGCCTTGTGAATGTTCTGTGTCAATCGGATTTTGTGTGACTTTGTTGTTCACAGTCTTACTCCTTCTTTAAAACAAGCAATAAAGGTTAATAAAGCAGGATTTAATGAATTCATCAAATTTCGGTAGAACTCGTCAGCTGAATACCACTCTACATACACGGATATATATACACTTTTGAAATTACATTGGGAGATATAAGACTGATAAGTAAACAAACTACATTGAATTAGTCATGCAGAAAGACACGTGCGAATGTTTTCCAGGTCATGTTCAAATAGATAAGGGGAGAGAGAGTATGAGAGGTCAAAATTAAGATAAATTGCATTACGCTTCAATTACATCACTTAGATAAACAATAACTCATTAGGGAATATAACGAGGATTGCAAACGGACTAATATTAATAGTAATAGTTATAATAACAATAATAATAGTGTTGAAGTGAGTTAAGATAATCTTACTGACAAAGCATAGTTTTAAATGAATCAAGAATAATAATAATAATGGTAATAATAATAACAATAATAGTAAGAAGAAGAGGTAGAATAATTGTAATAATAAGTAAACAATAATAAATAACGTATTACCATGGTAGATTCAGAGTCACGACCATCTCCTTTTGTATACAGAGACCTGGTTTATAAATTCGAATTCTACAAGACTCTACAACTGCAAGCGTCTTCTTGTTTCTTTGTTTACTGACAATGGTGAATGACTTGACAGCGTCGATATCATGTCCACAGTCCTCAAGATGTTTTGTTATTGAGGATTTTGGCACTATGCACTCATCTGTTTTCAACGATTTTGGCAAATGCTGCATTTTGCGAGTGGACAATCGCCTTTCCGTACGACCTATGTATTTGCTGCCACAAACACACTCAAACTGATATACGCAATTTGGAGTGTCGATGATTGGCGACTGGTCTTTCCCAGATAGTTGAAGCACTCGCTTGGTGGTGTAAAGGATAAAAAGTTTTGCAGTATAATAAGTTCTCTTGATGGCTTTGTCGAGTCTTCGTTTGACTACTTCCTGTACGTCATCTTCTTTGAACGGCAAACTGATATAGACAGGTTTCTTCGGAACTTTTTGAATGCTTTTGCAGAGGCTAGTTTCTTTAGAGTAATTATTAATGAACTTCTCATGATATCCATTCTTACATAAAATATCCTTCAGAGATTTTATTTCATGCTCAATAGTACTTTCAGAACAAATTTTTCGTGCTCTATTGAACAGTGTTCTGACTAGGTTCTTTTTGTACTGGACTGGAACAAAGCTCTTGAAATGCATGTACTATCCTGTCCATAAAGACTTTCTAAATATAGATCTTTCGATAGTGCCATCAATCATTTTGGCTAGAAAAAGGTCTAGGAATTTAATAGTATCCTTTTACTCCTTCTTGTTCGTAGAGTCATCGGTCTGTTTGTGTGTAGAAATTCTCAGGCACACCTAGATTTCTGTTTCTCTAATGAATTTTCTATGGCAAACACACTAAAAACAATAAACAATAAAACCTATCTGAACCCTGGAAACTAATTGAGATGTTTCAATTGAATCCTGAGTAGGCGCTCTAGTTAAGTGCTCTCAACAGAGTGTGCTTGAGATGTGAAAAATTATCAGTGAATATTCAAATCTGTGAAGTGGATTTCAGGTCAGTTGAACCCCCCTTCCCGACTCACAATATACTGTATAAATACGATGGATGCTCAAACACTAATCAGTCATTCAGTTGGTGTACTCAATGAGGATGACATTCTTGGTCTCCTTCACTTTCCTGTTGCTGAACTGTTTGTTGAGCTGTTCTGGTAAGTTGATGAATGCGATTGTTATTTTGTTGGTGCATATTTATTTGGAAACTGTTTTGGTTTGATTTTAAGTACAGAAAGTGAGACAAATTCTGGAGGTATGTTTGCAGTGGATCAACAGACTTCGATGTGGTTTCACCTTCGAATGAAGTGACGATGGATTTCGTGTAAAGTGTTGATAACAAGTGAGGACGTTGACATGAAATCGTGATGAGTTTAGAGACACTTATCTCGGTGTGTGGCATTTAAACTTTAGTGAGTAAATGTCCATGAGGTATTTGCAGTTTATGAATCCCTTTTCCACTCACGCACTTCATTCGTGGCATAGTTTTGAGCATACGTATAGAAATTTATGCGTTACATGACTATAAACAACATGGTTAGTAGTAGCGACAGTATTAGCTTTGATAGCATGTACTCACTGACTCACTGTTCATGTTTCTGCGTAGCGATTCAGGTTACCACATTGCCTACAGCACGAAAAAACAGACGAAGGAGGGAAAACAATGGTTGAAAAGTACTGCATTTTGCACGTATTAGGACCATCTTCATTATGGATTCATTGGAACTGGATCCCGTAGGCACTGCCAATATACTTCTCAGACTGGTAAAACTTTCTTACCTCAGTATTGGCTGAAGTCACTTTCTCTAACCACTATATCTTTCTTATGTTATCAGCGAACTAGATAGCTGTCGAAAGGACAAATCTCCTTCAAGTCGTCCAAACTGCAGCCTGTTTTGGTGTGAGCGGAGATAATTGAAAGACTTTGATGTGTATCGTGGTCTAGGTTCTTTGTTATCGGATCCGTTTAGACGGTTCTGCGCTTGGATCTAGTCTCATATCTCATGTGAATCTTCATGCAGATATTCCTTATGTACTCTTTTGCGTCTTCAATGTCATTTATACCTTGTCACATGCAAATACTTGACGAACTATAGATTTCCTTGAAATCGAAATATGCTTTTCTGGTACGCATCCATGCACACTCCTACTCGCTATTCTAGTTATTGCATCTTCAAGACATTCCATTCTGAATTGTGTAACTCCATGATTCATTTTCCAGCTGCTCATAATTCCATCTGGATATCATGTCCATTCTGTTTTACGTTAAATGCATTCACAATAAAGCACTGAGCTTTTTTTGTATATCGAATACGTGGTCACTATCACATCCACTTACTACAAGTGAATTCGTATATGATAGGAACAGCACTACTCACGCCTACTCGCTACGTCGGAATCGACTAAACAGTTGTCATGTTTATTTTGCCAATCAAGTAACTCATTGATGATTGTCGTTGAACTCAACAGGATACACCTCGTCATCTATCTCTTAAACAACTTATACTTTTATCCATGGCATCATCAAGAATAATATCTCTCTATTTTATAAATTTCATCGTCTTCCAGCTGATTTCAATTCTACACTTATGGAATACAGGAAAGCATACTATGATAGCCAAGCTATGCAATGTAAGCAAATGCAAATTTATATTAACTTAAACATATTCTATTCTTTACCGGATCACCTGAACAAGATTTGTTACTCATTTTTATCGGTGCACTATCTAACAATAGTAAACACTTTGTGTGTTGGGGCCACATATGTTCTGTGAGAGGCGGTATGTTAATGTCTGAATAAATATCTCAAGGAGAGTGTGTAACAATCTGCACCTGATGTATACAAACATCACATCATAAATGGAAAAAAATTATCTCAGAATTGAACAGATGTAACTTTCTAATAAAGTATAATTATATTTTAATAGTTTACACACAATGATAAGTTTTGTTATTGGTAATATTTCGAGCAAAATTACTGCCCATGTTTACACCACTGTTGGAATTGTACACGACTTAATGGTTGTGTGCAATGTTTGAAGAAGGCTGTGTGATATATGCATGCGCCTCGCCCTGATAATGTAATGGCCTGTTACCGTAAAAGGCCATGATTAGTATTGTTCATTGTGATGGTAAGTGAGCAGTAAGCTATCGAATGCAGTAATCAAAAAACATGTCGAACTGGTTGGTATTAGTAAAATTAATCATTCAAAATCTGGGTTGTAGCGGATAGCTTGCCGTTTCATACTAGTTTGAGACTGGTCAGCAGTACTCACTCCACTGGTGTAATCTTTCAAATGTCTTCCTTTCGTAGATCATGTTTTTCAAATTCGGGCCGCTTACAGTGAAAATTTCGATGTTGAAATGCTGTTAAGAGGTGAGATTATTGATATGTAGAAAACGTTTTATTAAGATATCAAAGTATACCTTGTTCTTAATGATATAACGTAAACTGGATGAGAATCATTCAAACGGAGTATTCTAGACTTCGTCAAGTTAAACGAAACAGGAACAATCAGTGGGCACCGGATTAACTAGCTGAGATCGCATTTGATTATATCTAGGATTCTGATCCGCGGACTGCAGCCTGAACAATACAACTTGAATGTAAACTATCTGGAAGTATTCAACGTCCTTTCGTCGAGATCACATGATGTAATCGATAGGAACGAAGAGTAACATGAGTGAGAAATGATGTTAGCTATGAGGTTATTAGGAGTTAGAAAGACTGACAATTTAATAGAATAACTAAATCAATATCTACGACAATAATATTCAAGAATGTTGAGTATAAATGATGTCTGCGTGGTGAGAGTGCAAACTGACAGTCAGTTAAACAACTAGAAACAAGAGTGTTAATAGAGATCAATGAACGTTGGTTAAGGGTGAGTCATTTTCAGATGAAAGCATGAAATTTCTCTGAACACAACAGAAGAAGTCGTGATGAAATCGTGCACTTTGTTACCATCAAGACAGTGTAAGTCTCACCACTGTCTCTTTTTCTCCGTGCATGCATCAGTTTGATTCTAATCGTTTCATGGTGACTATCTCAGAAAAATGTAGCAGGTTAGATTTCTTTCGCCTGTGGACTATTCTCAACGCCTTCAAGTCGTCTACAGTATGACAATTTTTGGACAGAAAGCACGCAATCACACTGTATACTGATGATAGTGACCCATTTAGGCACTAGACTAGAATCCCCAAACTGTAAACAAAGTTGCTACAGAAAAAAATTAACACGATGAATCTCCTTACAACAGAAGATAAAAGTCTATGTGGAGATATGGAACGTCAGCACAATGTGCGAGACAGCAAAGCAGTCCAGAGTGCAAACGAGATCGCAATATATACGGAATTCAAGCACTGTGAATTTTCGAAAGCTGATAGAATGGGAGTGGACTCATTAAATGGTCAAAGGGAGAGTCAGTGATCTACTCCGGTCACCCAGAAGACAACCACATGCACACCGAGGGTGTTGCTATCATGATGTCGCCAACAGAAACGAAGGACCTGACGTAATATGATGAGATCTCGCCTAGGATAATGACTGGTACATTCAACTCCAAAGGAAGGAGAGTGTCAACTATAAAGTGTTATGCACCCACAAACAACTCAGACCTAGAAAAGAAAGAAGAGTTCCACAGACAACTACAGGCAACAATGGACAATACTCTTGTCGGTGACATTTAAATACCAATGGGAGACTTGAACGCCAAACTGCTACCAGAAAACACAGGAAGGGAACTCATCATGGATAGAGAAGCTCTCGATAAAATGAATGAAAATGGAGAACTCTTCCCCGACTTCTGCGCCTTCAATGAACTAGTGATTGGTGGAAGCTTATACAAACACGGAAATATCCGCAAGGCTACATGGGTGTCACCAGATGAGAGAACCAAAAACCAAACTGACTTCATCTCAATACTGCTCAAGGAAGTGGAGGCGCAGCCTACTGGACACAAAATTAAGAAGAGGAGAAGACGTTCACTCAGACCACGATGTTCTACAAGGGACAGTCCAAATCAAATTAAAAGCTTTCAAAGAAACAGGAGCTGCAGAGAGACCACAAGCCAAGTTCAATACTCAAAACTGAAGAATCAGGTCAGAAAGCCCATCTTCACTGATATAGTATGGAAAATGTCGGAGACACAAATCAGCAGTAGCTAAGAGAACAGCGTTGAAAAACACTGGAACAGCCTGAAAGCTGTGTGGAGTCAAACCTACATCGGCATTCTAGTCAGAAAGAAGAGACAGGACAAGCATTGGCTCACTGCGTACACTTGGAAACTAATAGAAGAGAGATGGATGGTGAAACAAAAGACTATCCAGTGCATTGACTAGCAACAAAAAGAGTAGTTGAGTGCAAGCTACAATACACTAAACATGATAGTAAAGAGGAGTGCCAGGAAAGACAAGAGACAATATTATGAAGCTATGGCAATTGAAGTAAAGTGAGCTGCAGTGCAGGCGAAGGAGAACTCTTTACACTTCCTATCCTGGAAAATTTCAAAACAAATTTAGCTAGTATAAATGACAATGGAAAGTGAATCACCAAAGAGGTAGAGCGAAGGAAACAAACCACAGACCTTCATCAACAGCTGTCTTCACTCAATAATAATCAAGATCAGATGGCCAGTCAGAAACGATCAGCAAAAAGGAGGGATCTCTGAAAAGGAACCGACCCGGAAGAAACCAATTTTGCAACAAATATTTAGTAAGAAATGGAAGTAGATTGGCGATAATCTTAGAAAACAGTTCATCAGGTGACATCACATGCCAGCGATTACTCGACTGTAACCCAAACGGGAAGCGGCGAGTTAGTCGTCAGTGGAAGGGTGACATGTAGGAGAAGGAGGTAATATGAATAGGAGATGAAAGCGTGTGAGCAGATGTGAAACCAGGTGGAAACGTTGACAGAGAACCACTAAAGCGATGGAGATGTACGGCTGAAGCTCTATGTTCCTCTAGTGAGCCCTTTATTCTCAGGTGTTGCGCGTCATCTTATGTCTTCTTTAGAAATACAACTTTGTTGTATTGCTACAGAAAAATACACTTTCTGTGGTTTTATAAATATCACAATGTTGTACACTTTCCGCTTAAACTTCGTTTCCACCCGAAAAATCTTGAACTCTATTCTTGATTGTCAAGTCCAATCGCCTAACGAGATCTCAGACATCTTAATCAATGATAACTGAATAACCTTCGTCATTCCTGGTATATGTTACTCCAAATCGCCATCATTTAATTCCTGTCATCTTGCGGACGTTATCTGCACATCTTCGATGTAGATCATGGTGTTTGTAGCGTCCACCTTGTGCGTATGTATATCTGTTCAAATGTTTCTCGCCTCGTCGATGAGTATTAAAACTCTCTCAGATAATTCATATTTGTTGTAAGATAGAACACAATGACAAAGTGAAGGAATTCACATCCTTCGAATGTGAGGCAGCAAGTGTCTTAGTTGAATCTAGTTATTGTATCTCCCATCTGATATGCTCTACACAAATGTTTTATTATTTAGAAAGCCAGAGACTCGATCGTTTATACCAACTGAAATGGATTAATGAACTAATATGTAAGTAAAATTAATGATTCTATTTTTTGCCATTGAATTGTTTGATTGAGTAGGGATGTGGCGAGGTGAATTTAAAAACATTTACCAAGTGTATCACATGGTCAGAATCAGCTAGTCAGTCATTAAATTAGTTAGTAAGTTACTTAATTACTTAGTTAGTTATTTCAATGGTAGTTATTTAGCTAGTTCAGTTTGAGTTAATTAGTAAGCTCTTTCAATGTTAGTCAGTTAATTAGTTATTTCATGGTTAGTTAGGTACTTAATAAGTAAGTTCGAAGTTGTTACCAGCTACGCGACTGTGTGCCACACTATTCTACGGTGGCTAAATATCCGAAATCAACGACTAGCTTTTAATAAATTCAGAGAGATTTCTTTGTTAAGAGTCGATTGCAAGCGATGATTATCCACATTCACCGAATTTATTAGATCCATGGATTACTGGCACTTTTACAGAAATCATTCTGAGGATCAATGCACAATCGTTTTTCACTCAGTGAGCAAACATAGAAATGATGATCTCATTGTGTTCATTCACTAAACAGCACTAGCGATGAGGATTTCTGGTAGAATATCGATCGGATTCATTGGAAACATTGTGTAATGCACTTTTGCACACACATTGATGGAACGTCGATCACTCATCATATCTATGTATTATAAGAATCAGACATTAAAATTGATTCCTCATTCGCATACATGAGATTCACGATAATTTGCAACTTTGTTTTCAGCTTCACCTGTTTTCTCAGCAAGCCAGAAGATTGACTCAGCCACTAAGAGACGATATGCAAGTGAGTTATTTACTAGATGTACATGCTGAGATAATTTAACGTGTGTTTTACATATAAGAGGTTTCTTCTCCTTCTACTTATTCTCAATGGCCTACACGTTGATCGCATGAGACCTCTCCTATTTTGATGGAGCAAAGCGAATCGCACTTCTGCTTAAAGTGTCATGAATAAAGATGAACACTGAAATGCAAAGACGCATCCTAAAGAAGTCATTGTCTTTTCATACCCATACTTTGCGTCCATCTTCCTCTCACCAGCAAAATACTGGATCCATTCAGTAAACACCTGTATGTGAATCTCATTTGAAATATAGTTCACAAATAGTGTTATATCACTGATATCACTCAGCCTGTGCTCACCACCAGCTACATAGTACACACTGACGGTTGAATGGTGGGAACATTGTCAGGATTTTATGCTGAAGCCGACATTATTGTTTGTCTGCACTTAAATATATCAGCATGTATATTTTTACGTGATTGCACGTTTTAATGCTTGTAGATGAGTACGAAAAAGAGAAACGTCTGAATCAATCTACACCTCTGGGCACAGGTATTTGATGAATTTTTATTCACTGTAATTCTCTACTTTCGCTATCGATGCAAACATGACACACGTGAGTGATATATTGATAACACTGACAAGGATGAGATTAACACACTGTGCGTTTATGCAGCGTGTGACCGTTGATGTGAAAATATATATCTTTATTCGAACATACCAAATTCACTGGTAGTTATCTCATATATTTGTGTACTTATTCATATTCATAACCTCGCCTAGATTACTAGCCGGTCCCAAGCCCGGATAAAGGGGGAGGGATGGGGCATGGTGCTAGCAGTTCACACCCGTAAAACAACCGAATTGCTTGAGAAACTTCAATGCGCAAACGTATTGAAAATTCTGAAAAATATAAACAATAGCCTTATTTTTCCCTGGAATCGGGGAGGTACGAAACTTGAAAGGCTGCTCAGGTAGCAGCAGAAATGAGGAGATATAGAAAAGAAGTGCTGGGAATCTGCGAGAGCAGATGGAACGGATCTGGAAGGTGCCAACTACCATCTGGGGAGACAATAATCTATTCCGGTCACCCAAAGGACAATCGCGAGCACATCAAGAGAGTGGTCGTCATGACGTCACCAACAGCAGGCAAAGCTCTCATGCAGTGGGAACGAATCTCCTCAAGGATAATGACAGCCAGGTTCAACTCAAAAGGAAAGAAAGTTACAGTCATTCAATGCTATGCGCCTACAAACGTCTCAGAACAAGAGAAGAAGGAGGCGTTCTACACACAACTACAAACAGTAATGGACAACGTCACAAATGGCGACATGAATGCGAAGCTGGGAGGAGACAACACAGGAAGAGAACTCAACATGGGTAGTGAAACCCTCGATGAAATGAATGACAATGGTGAACTCTTCTCAGACGTCCGCGCCTTCAATGATTTGGTGATTGGTGGTAGTGTGTTCAAACACAAGGATATACACAAGATGACGTGGATTTCACCAGATGGAAACACCAAGAGTCAAATAGACTTCATCTCAATTTCAAGAAAGTGGAGACGGAGCCTACTGGAAACAAGGTCGAGGAGGGGAGCAGATGTGGGTTCAGATCACTATCTAGTAAAAGGGACTTTCAAGATGAAACTAAAAGCCTCAAGGATAGCTGGAGGTAGACCACAATGCAAGTTCAACACTAAGAAACTGAAGGACACAACCACAAAAGACACCTTCACTGCAACTGTCAGAGTAAAGCAGGAAACACTACGCGACATCACTGAAGAATCATGCGTGGAAGAACATTAGAAGTCTCTGAAGGCTATTCTCAACGAAACGTGTTCAACGGTTCTAGGAAGAAAGAAGAGACAAGACAAGGAATGGCTCTCAACGGAAACTTGGAAATTAATAGAAGAGAGGAGAATGGTGAAAGAGAAAATGATTCAATGCAAGGACGGACAGGAGAAGGAGACTCTGAGTTCAACTTACACAACACCGAGCAAATAAATGAAGAAGAGTGCTAAGAAGGACAAAGGACAATTCCACGAGAACTTGGACACTGAAGCCGAGAAGGTAGCAGGCAAAAAGGACCTGGGGGCACTATATCAGACAACCAAATCTCTATCCGGGAAGAGATCAACACAAGCACAACCTATAAAAGACAGCCAAGGGGACCCAATTACCAAGGAAGAAAAACAGATTACACAATGGGCGGATCACTTCAAAGGACTCTTGAACCGACCATCACCTGCAACCCGTCCAGAAATACCAACAACAGCGCGCACACAACTGCAAGTTGACACCAATCCTCCAATGAGAGCTGAAGTCTTGAATGCAATCAAGCTTCTGAAAGCTGGAAAAGCAGCTGGACCAGATGGAATACCCCCTGAAGTACTGAAATCGGGCCCAGAGACTACAGCAGACATGCTGACTCCATTATTGCAAAAGGTGTGGAAGGAGGGAAAGGTGCCTACTGACTGGAGGAAAGGTCACCTCGTGAAACTACCAAAGAAGGGCGACTGAGGACTCTGCAAGAACTGGCGAGGAATCATGCTCCTGTCGATGCCAAGTAAAATCTCGAGTCGCATCATCCTGGAGAGAATAAAGGACGCACTGTATACAGAACTCCGACCAGAACAAGTTGGATTCAAGAAAGGCAGGCAAATCATGTAGTGACCAAATTGCAACTCTACGCATCAACATCACAGAACAAAGCATGGAATGGCGATCAAACATCTACCTCAACTTTTTAGACTTTGAAAAGGCCTTCGACAGACAGCGTTGACCGCGAAGCAATTTGCAAACTACTCGAGTATTACGGCGCACAGTGCCCCAAATATTCATCAACCTTATTCAACAGCTGTACAACAACGACTCATGTCAAGTGATCCACAACGGAAAATTCAGTGAGGCGTTTGGAGTAAACACAGGAGTCAGGCAAGGGTGCTTATTATCATCAATGAATGATATTCCTAATTGTGGTGGACTGACTGGATTATGCGTCAGACAGTGGGAAACGGGAAGACAGGGATATCCTGGACCGACGCTAAGAACCTAGAAGACCTGAATTTCGCGCGTGGATGATTTATGTTTGATGCCACACAAAATCGAAGACTTACAAGCGAAAACTGACCGAAAAACTGGTCGAAGAAGCAGCCGGCGAAGACAGGACTTCAAGAGAACATAGACAAGACGGAGGTGATGAAAATAACCAACCAACAACAGCAATAGCAACATCACGCACCAGTCACCATCAACGGGAGGGATTTCAAAAAGATTAGTTCATTCACTCACATATCTTGGGAGCATTGTCTCAACTACCGGAGGAACGGACGAGGACATCAAATCGAGCGAGAATCGGGAAGGCGAGAAACACATCAACATCATCAACCTGAAACCAATCTGGAAATATTCGTCACTCAGCATCACCAAGAAAATTCGATCAATTTTCAATACAAACCTCAAGTCAGGCAGTTCTTCTATACGGATCAGAAACTTGGCGGGCCGGTCACAAAGAATATTTCCAACAGCCTGTTGTAGACGTTACCTTTACCAACAACTAACTGTCTTCGCTGGCTCTATACTGAAGATCAGATGGCCGGGCCGGGCCGGAAAGAATCACCAATAAGAAACTGTGGGAACAAACAAACAAAACAAGAACCAATCGCCGACCAACAAATATGCAGGAGAAAGTGGAGATGGATTGGACACTCGCTGATGACATCACGCGCGCGTCAGGCCATTGCTTGAGTGGAACTCGAAAGGGAAGCGGTGAGTGGGACGTCAGTGAGAGAGTGACATGGAGGAGATCGTGTGAAGAGGAGTTGAAAGTGTATCGACTAACATGGATGCAGGTGAAAAGTGAAGCAGAAGACAGAAGCAAGTGGAGACCTACAGTTGAAGCCCTATGTTCCTCTAGGAACCCAAGGGAGAAATAATAATAATATTCATATTGATTGTACGCTTGAAGCTGCATTGTTTGAAATGTGGTCAAGTACCAGAACAGAAGACAAATTGTGTGAGATTAGTTACTGCCTAGTGTCGAGTAAAAGTAGTCAGACACCATTTGTGAGATATTTATCAAGTTGAGGGATCTTTGCTATTGTGTGCAAATGTGATTTGTTCAGTGTATCTTGGAGGCTGGATGAACAATTAGATCGAGCGAGTCGTTGAGATTTCTTCAAATAACCCCAAATGATGAATGTCAAGTGGCGGATGCTGACTGGCCATTGAAGTGAAATTGTGTAATCCAGTGAATGGCGCTTTAGCATTTAAAACGTAGAGTACTGAGTTGGAATATTGGTGTGTTTGTGTGCGTGTGTGGAAGGAGAGCATCATTCACCCGAGAAGCCAGGTACATCCAGATGACCAGTCTCTAATAGGATGAAATGCGTATGCTGCATTCCATTGCAACACTTCAACATTTCGCTGATAAAAAGGCTTCCTTACAACAAGTGACTCTGATTAGCAGTTTTCCAGTTTAAATGACAGAAAACACACACGTGTCGATGTACACACATTCTCGTTTTCTATTTCTTGTAGAAAGTGATAAACTTATTGAGGCACTCGAAAAGAAATGGAAAGCCAGAGCAAGATTGGATGCTGCTGAAGGTGAGTGCGTAAAGCCTTTGACACATTTTTGTCCCCTAAGAATGTATCAGTGAGAATTTCTCAGCACTAATATTTGGTAGTGCAGTTAGGTGCTACATGAAACTCATTGAGAGCTGCTTCATGATGATACCCTCACATATGGCTAATTTCAGGCCCAAAACGCATATGAATGCAGAGATGAAATAATGTAAACTCATTTGTGTCAGTCCGTCTGTCAGTCAGTCAGCGAGTCATTAATTATTGTGAATCCACATTAGTCTCCAACTCAGTGTCTCAGAAACATACCACATGTTGACTTCATTATGAGCTTTTATGACAAGCTTTGAGAAACCATCTTTGCTTTGAATTACTGTCTTATTCGTGTGGCGAACGAAGGTAAGTGAGACGCGAAAGATACAATGCACTGCTGGATTTCAATTGGATGTATCAGACTAGTCAATGTCTGATGGTGATTATTCACTCCTGAATGTGGGAACATAATTCAACTGTACTTACTAAAATCAAGTCAAGTAAATCTCTTATATTCTCCTAAATTTCTTGTAGATGCCCGCCTGAAATCATCTAAATCATTGGCAAAGTGTGTGAAAAGAAAAGGTGAGTGTTCGAGGTTCAATTTTCAATATTTGTAACATTTTCCATACGAAATTACAAATTGAATGCGGTATGTAACTGATGTGGATGGAAGAAACGACACTGTTAGACAAGGCTCAGTGAAGCGCTATCCACGGTTTCCTTTCATTTCGCTGAGGAGTGGATTGTCATATCATATCACATAGCCAATACATTGGTGATGATTTATCTGTCACACTGTTATCGTCATTTAGACTTTACATTCAAAGTAGAACTTTCCTCGAATATAGTTACCACGTTATTTCCCGCTGACGATTTCATCGTGGCCTCTCATTAGAAGCTTTGCAAAGCCGCCTACGTCTATTCACAGAATGACACCAACTGAAAGTGAGACATTCTGAGATGTGTAAATTTCCTGTGTGTGTATATGCTAATCGTTATTCACTGGGAACAATATTCAACTGCTATAAGCGTATCCGATAAACTCAAGTTTATGCTTATCATTTGATGTTGGAGGATCCCTTCTCTCCCTCACTGACGAGCCGTAAGGTCGACAATTATAGATTTCTAATGGTCAGTTAAAACTGCTTCGCTTAATATGAAATGTTAACTGGCATAGAAGTGAGGTAAAAACGAATAAGCCAATTCAAATGTATGTCCCTTGATGAAACGTTCACTTTGTACGCTCATTGCACAGGGAAATGGATTGCCAGTTAATGACTTGTAGCCACAACATGAATAGTTCACCCGCCTCACACCTGTCTTAATTCAACTCTAACATTGCCATATTGATTGCCAGACAAATATACTGGAGGGAGCTGATTATCACCACGGATACACCTTAATACACTATCTACTCAGGTCAGGTAGTAATGAGTGAAAATGAAATGATGCTACTCCTTCCAGTGATTCCATCCTATTGGATTATGCGTCTCAATGCGAAGCTTAACTAAGTGGTTATATTGTTAGCTTGAATAACACTGGTTATAGTAACGGTAAGCTGAATGATGGCTTGAATTCATATTTCTATGAATTGAGGAATTCATACGATACTGTGAACGTCAAAATGATATCCTACCATACAATACATTAATTGTCAGAATGCATGCGAACGCACATAATATGTCACTTGTTCCCATGATGTGTAGAAAATCGTGTTGTTCAATTAAGTCGAGGCAGGTAGAAGTGATGCCACTCATCAAAGTTTTGCATACATGCCAACGTTTGTAATGCACATCAGTTGTCAATTGGCATGCCACATTATTTGCATGATGGCCTGGATTCGGTTCAACTAACCACTAAGCACAGAACATGAGAGAATGGCACGACATGAATATGAAAGGATTTGAATATCCAATGTATTCTAGAAAAAAAGGGTAGCCTTATTGCCCATTACTACTATTGTTATTATTATAACTGTTCCTATGGATTTTGAGTGGAAGATGGTGCTTAAACAGCACATCTCAATCTTGTCCTGTTCTGTGCCAACCGGTTTATCTGGCTGACCCACGACTCTCCATGCTCTGTTAGCTCCTCCTCCTCGTACCACATCCACAATGTCACAATCGAACTTATCCTCAACTAGATGTCTCCCATTCACGCACGACGCGAGAGAGAAAGAGAGAGTTAGAGTAGAGCGCGGCATCAGTCGACGGTTTCCCTGCCTGTTCTCAATGCACTCTATTTCGTATTACAAATAATTGGATTCTCCATCCTTCTCACTCATTCGAGAAACTGATCACTAACGCTGATATTTTTCTCTCCTTGAAGAAAATACACCAGAGAAAGTGAATTTGGCGAGTGGGGAGAAACAAATTCTAGAACTGAAAAGTACGTTTGCAGATGCACTAATCTACTTGTGTATACGCATATTTATATGTGATTTCTGATGTGATATGGTACGTTATCTGGCAAATTTACATCATAACATGATGCAGAATCGAGCAACCAAACACATCTTGTATTCCATGTGGACATTATTACTAGTCAGTGTGGTTGAATATCCTCAAATGTCAATTCACTTCTGATTCGAGTCAGCCACAAATTTGACAGACTAGGTGACCAGCTCACGATGCACTGTAGCAGGGTTTACCTAACCTCAAGTAGCCTCCCAATAAGCGACCTATCAGTCTGGCCGCATATCTGTTGCAAAACAACTGATGGTCTGCCCTTATATGATGGAGGGTGTTAATTGCAATAAACAAAGTAGAGCATGAATCATCATTTTGCGTAAACCAGTGTAACTAGTGGAATAAGAGTGGAGAACACAAAACGATAATTCTATCGGTCACTAGATAGTAGCCGATGTGATGTGTCTAGTCCTCACTATGGTGCAAACTGCACTTTATCATCAGTGAATATTTGCAATGTGTCCACGCCAGAGGTCAGGTGACTCAACATTATCATTCAAACTGAATGGATATAAAATGACGACCTGTATCCAACCCAGCAACAGAAGCGGTGATTGCTGGGATTATTTGTAAACCGGCTGTGTTATTCAATGACTACTTGCATCTCTAGCCCGTCCGCCACTTGAGGTCGACTGCCTTGAATCATCTGACCACAATAGCATGAACTGCACTGGAAGCTGAGAGTGTGCGGAGACTAATCCTAAGAGATCTGGGAGGTAGGGAGAAGCCATTCTTTTTCTGTTTAAAATATATTTTATTCTTCTATAACTTCTATTGACATCTTAGAGTCAATGATCACGATTCACTGTGTAATTTTTCAGAGGCTGCCATTAAAGGACTTTATGAACTGATTGAAGTATTCAAGAAATACATATTGAATTACGATGATGAACGTAAGCGGCATATAAAGAGTGTATGTGTGAGAAAACAAAGTTTTGACTCGTGATGCTTACTTCAACCTGTTTGAAGGATTATCATAGTTAATGAGCATTCGACTGCAATTAAAGCCCTTGATGATGGATTCGATGAATAACCGATACTCGACAACAACCATTGGTGTCGAGACATCACAAGTTTACCACATCAATCGACTGCAGACGAATAACTGCATGATAATACTGTTCATGTCCCCTCAGCTGATTTATCGATAGTTCATTCATCACTCTTGGAATTGTCTTAACACTTGATACGTACAATATGCAATGTCCACGAGTTTTTTTGCAGGATTTTTATTTGATTTGAGTCTGATCATTGAAATAGTACGGTGATGTGACACAGATTGATAGGAAGTGAACTCCACTGGAATCATTATTTTGAATGAATGTCTGCTATGGAGGTAGAATCGTTTATTCCTCAAATCTGGATTTGAATCAGGCTGAGGACATGAAATAACCTCACTGGTAGACTTGTTTAGCCAACCATTCAGAAGCAGTTATTCTCTCGTGAGCTGGCGGAGATTTAATGTTGCTAACACTTTACAGATATCAGGCGTTTTTCTTGGTAGGATAGTCCGTTTACAACTACCTCATATTCTCGTATTGCACTATCAGTTGGACAGGCATTGAATACCATGGAGTACTGGACAACAGATGTTTTGTCTTAACTTTGAATCTTCATTCAGCTTCAAGAAACGGCTTTGATGAGAAGTGATTACACAGGCAATCATCAACCGGGATTCAAATCCATGAACTACTGGCTACAACGCGTGCTTGTATATCATTGAACCACCGGGACTCGATCCAGTGACCAATCTATGAATTCCAACCTCTACTGATTCGTGACTGTAGCGTGACCAGCAACGAATGTCATCGGCGTGTACTTATCCCTACACCCGATGTTGTAGATCCAAGGGGTCACTAGCTATGACTGGAATGACACGTCACTTCATCCTTTATAAAACCAGTCACTTGTAACCATCAGATTAATTTTCATTAGTTATTTTTTGAAGTCTTGATTAGCTTCAAGTTTCACCACGCATTGATAGTAGTCGGAGAAGCATTGGCCACGGGTACACTGAAACTATTAGAATAGGTAATAATTCATTGGATTTCATTGGATGTATCGTGATATGCTTTAGTTGTACATGCGATCACAGTGATTGATTTGTGACAATGTAAATTCATGGCGAGTGTTCCTGGATCCAGGAAAAGAAAGGTATTCAGTATGATTGTCTCCTATGACCTGAGCGATGTCACTGAAAAGCTGAACTTGTTTTACACACACCATTTATAGAGCAAAATTCAGTAACTCTATTCCCTTTGAATATTTCAGTAACTGATTCATTAGAAACTGATACCTTATTAGCCGAAGTGAAGTACGGCAGGGAAATAGGTAACTTATTTTCATGCCATCTATTATTTATTGTTTGACACTAAGTAATGTGCTTATTTCTGTTACTTTACCAATGAATCCATCTACGGTGTGTCCATAAGAAACAGTAAAGTTATGACGTAATACAAAAGAAATTGTCGATTAAATTCACCAATTTCCTGTGGTGAGTAAATACGTTGATCCATATGGAAATGTCGAGCAGTAACTGACTATGGTGCGCAAACCGCAGGTGGTTAATCTCCGAAAGATTTCGGGATACATGCGTCAAATTACGACAGTTTTGTAGTGATTTGATGAAGACTTTTGACGTTTGTATGTAATTTACGTGCGTTTGAGTATCCGAGAGGAAAAATGCCTTCAAAATACTCCAAATTAGTTATAAGCTGATATGGTGATGGCGATTCAGCTAGCCACCACATGAAAAACCATGTTCCACTGATGTCTCAGCGTTAAACATTCTGTGAATTTTGTATCTCATTGGCTTTCATATTACATTCAAATTCATATTAAATCGCTTTTATTTCCTGTCATCCAGATGCACTTGTCAACAAAATAGTCGACGTGGAGCGTCAACGACTTCAGTATCTACAATGTAAGTCAATCTGTAATCATAACAGTTTTCTCCCCACTTTAGTACTTTGTCCAGATGAAAGAGTGAAAGTCGTAATAGACTCAGTGATTGCAGAGGTCTACACACCAACGAAGTACGTTCCTTCTGTGTAATTTGTTTTCATCGTACAATAATGCAATCATTCATTCATTTACTGAGCAATTGATTAATGAGCATTTAATGACGTTCTCTGCACATCACTCACATGAAAACAAAGTGGAATATTCTGCATAAAGTTTCAGTGAATGCCTCCACACTATCACCATTTTTGCTCTATCAACTCTCACAATACACCGTCATCTTAAATGACATGAGAATGGCAGTTGTATCTGTCTGTACACAGACATTGTTTGTCCACACGAAGGAATGAATTAGTCAGTTGAAATCATTTGTGTATGTACATGAAGCATACAGCTTTCATCTTTTGACGTTGTCTCCTGGAGATTACTGTTGAAGTCGATTGATTCCGCCTGAAGAACTCAGTCAAGCGTCCACGTCATTCGCTACACAGAATCTGCATGAGCTCCCAAGTAGCCAGGTAGCTAGATTGCTAGTTAAGTAGACGTCACCAACGAAACAGAAAATACAAGTTTATGTGTCTACAATGAAGGGGGAAACTGCGAATGTTCATACGTTTTTCGTACAACAACGTCTAACTTTAATTAATGAATTGCAGCATGTAGCATGAACTCCGTAGATCGTAAATTCATGACAGGGGTTGACAGAGTGAAGCGATCCGTTCAAGTGCTTTAGAATAATGAACTGCGCAAACAAATTCTTTTCCGATGTAAAGTCATAATGCAATGTGTCCTCCTCTAGTCTACACTACATTCTCGTTCAAACCCCTATGTACCTTGCTGCATAAGAGTAGGTGAACTGTGATAGGCGCGCATTCAGGCGACCAGATGAGTGAGATTATCGCTCACACAGACGATGAAAAACCTACGACAAGCTGATGTGGGTCAGTTGAAGGAATGATGTGAATGTGGTATTCATGAAGTGGTATGACACTTGGAACTGTTAATTTAGACTCCTATCAGTCGTTGCTTATTTCTATAAGGCGAACATTATCGCCGTCAAACAGTCACTGGCTCCGAGAAGCAATGTTGCCGCATTTTGTATTGAATATAAATGACATCATTCAAGCAACCGTTCCAAGTCTCCATTCAATGTCATGACAAAATCTTAGGGTTCAGATAATCTAAATACCCTGCTTGAATTGAATATTCACTTATTTATTCACTAAGTCAGTCAGTCAATCAGACGCTGTTGATCGTCGTATTCATTCGTTGTTACGATTAAGGAATTTATGTGTGATAATTAATCTAATTGGTGTTAGATCGTTGTAATTTTTCAGATAAACATGGTCTGCCAGCAATGGATCACTACACTGGAAGAACGCATCTACAATATATTGAAGTACTGTTCAGCATGCTTTCATGATAATTTAATTCTTAACTTAGTAACTCTCTCTTCGACAGAAACATTGGCTGAAATACTTTTCTTTCTGTTTTCGTAACTGAATTTTAATACAAATAAATGTGTGTGTGTGTCAGTTTCATAAACTGTGAATTATTTTTTCTCTGAGCAGATGTTTTGTGGTGAGAATGTGTTGTTTAGTGTTAGTTTACCAGAATCTGGTTGGTAGCAGGCCCGCGGATTAGCTGGTATGGCTGAGAGAATATTTGGAAGGCTGCGGAAATTACCATGTGACTTCTTTCTCCTCTTTAGAGACTCGTCAGCAGCACGACTCCTAACGAATTTCACAATCAGTGACTGAATGAATAGCGAGCTCGTCCTGTATGTAACCTGAAGATGACAGAGATTGCCCCTGTGGTGGCCTATATCTGAAAATTCGGAAACTAGGAGAAATCAGCCATCCGGTGCTCCCTGCTGGTATTCCGAATGCTGATATCAGCTCGTGAATGGATCTGTAACGAGCGACCTTCTCACTAACGTATAAATAAAATGTGTAATTTCAAGTCATTCAGCATGACATTTTGAGCATTCTCCTCCAATCCTAACACTTTCATATGTGTAATAGTGTAGTTCTAATGTACCAGGGCCCTTCTGTCATACTCTCAGTATCAGACAATATGTGTGATAGGGTGAACACAGTTTTCATGTAATGCTGAGGAATAATGAAAGAATCATTCATACTCAAGCTTATTGACGACATGAACCTTACTCGCAGAAAGGCGATCCTTCTTACCGATAACTAGTAACTGTTTTAAATGATATGTAACTGCAATGCTGTCACCAGCATATTGTGCAGTGTTTCGTATAGTGGACAGTGGTTTCTCATGTCTCTTATCTACCTTAATCTTCAACAAGAGAAGTCCGTGTGGAGTAACATGAATTTGTGAATTAGTATAGCAATAAAACTATTGGCTTCGATGTGAAGATCGCTTGATAAATCAGTCCCTGTCACATTTGTCATTGATTGTGAGCTTCACTTCATATTTCAGACCATTACACAACCTCACTCTTCTGGTTCAGATTCAGAATTATTCTTATTGAACATCTGTAACGACACTCATCATATTCTAGAGTATTAACCACAGACGATTTCATTAATTCACTTACATAACTACTAACTGCCTCCATTCTGAGTATATTATTGAGATTCAAGAGCACTATCGTCTCTACTCCACTTTCAGATGGCTATGTAACCGCCTTTCAAGATTTCATTCCCACTTCACATGATCTCTTTCGTGTCACATTTGAATGCCAAACTCGTTCATCCCACAGCATTTGAATTCCAGTCATTGACTGGTTGTAAGGTGTTACGTGAATATCTGTTCAGGTTGAGGTTTAATCCATATCCACTTCCTCTTGCATATCATGTAGACAATAGGTGTGTATTTCTTCCGAAAGAAGTTTGGAACAATAATCCACCGGTTAACAAAACCACACGTTAGCTGACGAATGAAATGTAGAATTATAGGATTTCTCTGAAATACAGTAGACTATATTTAACATAAAACATGAAATATTATAAATACAAACGTAAATTTTGGGGGTTCATGAAGGAATGCCGTCAAATACCACGGTCAGTGTGCGTCAATCAGAGAAAACAGCAAAGCTATGTCAAAGGCGAACCACGCGAAGATTTCAACAGCGTGTGAATGACAGACACAGAAGTAAAGGATAAGAATAATAGATGTTCAACGGTGACGGATATGTAAATGAGGCATGTATGGCAGGTAATGATCGACTATAAGAAATTAATTATTGTGCATCAGAAAGAGCGTGAATACATTAAGTGAGCTGAAATTGGATAGACAATGAAGTCATCATGAGGAATTTAACAAATACAAGAGATAATATCTACTAGTGTCTGATGGTGTAAATTTCAACGCAAAAGCAAGAATGATAGAGGACAGATGGGAAATGAATCGACAGTAGTTTCCGGATAGATCACTTTCAGAGTCCCTACCTACCTCTCCTGTCTTGCTGGTGCCTTACTGATTCTCACTGTCGAGTGAAGGCAAATATTGATGAAAGCGTAGCAGTAAATCATCCCTCAGATTTTTCAGTCTACACCATTGAACACCATTCAACACTGTCTGCTAAGCATTGCTGTTTAAGTCTTTTGCTGCTTGAGCGGAAGGTATGCAAACAAGCATCCAAGCTAATCGGCACGGCGTATTGTGTTAAGATCGTTCGTCGGTGAACAAGCTTCGGTCAGATAGCATGCATCACTGTCTTACATCTCGAATAAACTTAAGTTCCTTTCGTATCCTCAACAATCTATCAGTTATTCTGATTTGTATCCTAAAAGCCCTTGGGAGGAAAGAAGACGTTAACTGAGACTGCATGGAAATATACTTCCACTCACTTACGAAGGTATCTTAAGTAAGTGATAACGTCACCTCTATGTAATTTTTTCTTGACGAGTATGTCAAGGCACTAACTGCATCATATAAAACCACTCATCCAACGTGAGTGTTCAACGCTGAGATATCCTGGTTTTGCCTAATGCTCCCCATGCGGATATTGATTACATGATAACTAGCGAGTGTCATCCTTTTATATTCTGACAGTCGTTTTTGTCTAGCTGTATTTGAAACGACGCTTCCTAATCGCTACAAAAAGATGACTTCATTTGTGATGACTGGGGCTTGCTATTAATGCATACCCTTCACTAAACCTTATCTCAAAAAATAATCATGCTCTGCAGTAACGCAAATTTTATATTCCCATTCATTATGAAGATCAAATTCTTGTTCGAGTGTCCACTATGTTCATGAGCCTATCTGTATAAATCCCATGATTTCTTGGTATCCGTTTGTTAGCTCAGCATTCCTGAAGGCAATAATTGGGATAAAATAAAGTTTTCACCGCTGAAGATGGATTGATTGACTTGCAGAACTACAGAGGTGTTACTAAGACTTGCGAATTTCATTCCACAAATGAATGTCTCACTTAGATCGACAGATGCTTGGGAAACAGCAGTAACCAGTGAGCAGAGAATGTGTAGGCCTGGTTAACGGATAGGAGAGAGGAGAGGAGGACTATGTGTGAGATACGTGAGACTGCATAGAGAGTGCCAGCACACCCAAGAGAAATAATCACAGAGAATAAAACGTAATCATACGGCTATTTAGGCGAAACCGAATATCACAATGAAATAATGAAGTATGTAACGAATGATGGGATGTTTGTATCAACCAGTACATCTCCCAAGAATTGACTGACTTCCCGTGTACATGTACGTGATACTCCAGGCATCTGTTGAGGCTGTTGACTGCAGACACCCGTCTGCCATGTTGACAGACAGTGAATTCTATAGGTAGGAAACGCAAAGGTAGGAAATGTTACGCCTATATTTTATTGCTATCCTGTGATGAGCGATGCTGTTAAGGTAGCCTCAAAGATTATCATTATGCTCTTCTAGCGATACGACACGGAATGGATCCACTATGCTGCGTACTATTTTGCCTACGGTGAGGTCCCTTCTGCCTCTGTGCTGCCTGAGAATGTACAGATCCAGCTGTTTCCATTGGTCATCAAATATTCCACCTGATGTTTAGAGCAGTCAGTTCCAGATAGGCTATATGGAGAACTATGTTTCTGCTAATGCCCAGACGAATTTCTCTTGATCTGTGATAACGACGAAAGATATTTTATAATGATTGCCTCAGTTCTTCAGGTTGTTCAGGTCTTCCTGAAAGCTGAATGGAATCCTCCTTGTTCTCCATCCACAGATTTATTTCAGCTGGATCTAGTGGTGGTTGGCAGTGTATGTTGATCGAGAGATAGTTTATGTAGATTCCGTTTGGCTGTGGATCTAGGAGCATTCCTCAACGAACTCAGGTGGTCATCACTCACCTTGTGGAACACACGCCATTCGCACTCGTGCAAATCTTCTTGCTCACCAAGGAGGCTGTAATTCAAGCGGCTAGCTAGTGATTGCAAGTTCCAATATTTGAGAATTTCCATAGTAGTATTTCATAAGACCCCCAGACGAAGGCTTTGGTCAGTTCTTGCTGCCTTTAGGTGCATCATCAGTGAATTCAACTGTCTCTAGATTATTCATAAAACGAGTACTCTCGCCCCTAATTACACACACGCATTGTGGCTAATTGTTCTCCTTCAGCCCTCAGGCGGTACAGATTACTGGGGTCAGTCTGCATTTACCTGGCGTAGTCTTACTGGAAAGTCCACTTACTCCATCGATGCCTATTATTGCATCGACTACCTAGAGCGATGGATAATGTATGTGTCGATTCTTCACCGATCTGACTTCACAATTTTTAGTTAGTGGTACACAGTTGAACTCGAACGAAAAGGTAGCATATCATAGATAATAATAATAATAATTTTCTTTATTACAAAAACAGTACTTGTGGTACAGAATGAAATTTTCAGCATTAATCACAACACCTTGCATCTGATTTACTCAAATTACAAATAAAAATTAATCACACAGAAAACTTTCCACATTTACAATAGAGGTAATGTCAAAAACATGCAGCATATAAAATGAAAATAATAATAATGACAACACCTAAGGCAATAATAATAATAATACAAGTGAATATTGCCGTCAGCTTGTTTCACACAGTATCGGCAATGTGTCTGTGGACAAAAAATCAACTATGTGGTCCCATGGGACATCACTCACCCTACTGACCATCTTCAGCATTCTACGAAGTGTGACACAGTCCCTTTTACGCAAACCAGGAATTCACAGTGTGATCCTCCAGCCTTCCTGTGGGTTTTCACGTGAAACACGACCTTCATAGTTCTGGAGAGGATTGTATGTGAGTTACTCTATCCAGTGAGTTCTATTTCTGCCATTAGAGTTGTCAATGTGGACCGGCAGTTGATGTTCTTCTTCATCACTCTCTCCATCCGCCTCCAGTGCTCACCTATCGTTAGTGAACTGTATTATCATGATTGAGTCACTCGATCGACAACTTTTCCAATGATCCTGGAGTGAACATCACCATAACAGCTTTGGGCACAGGATTCATTCTTGACTACTCCCTGTTAACTTACTCGAACAATACTACTAAGCGTCGATCGGTAATTCGCATTATACATTCTAAACAT